CCTCTTCTGGAAGTTACAGCTTTGTTACCCTGTGACTTTACGCTCCTGAGTAATGTCCGTTAATGGATAGGTCTGTGGGCCTCATGATGTAGTGATGAAGTGCCAGCTTTTGTACTGCCCTGCCAAGCTATGTGCCTGGAGACTGGAAGAAGTATTCTTCACTTGACTCCTTTTTTCATACTTCTGTACACTAAAATGAAAATGTTCTTTTCTGGATCTTTCCCAAGATTCCCCCCCCCCTTCTTTCCAATTAGAAACACCACAGTCTGTAATCAAGCATGGGCTTGGAGCTAATTATTAGCTCTAGCTTCTCGTTAATATATTTTACACTCAGGAGAAGGCCGAGTGTTGTCAAACTTGCTCTTCAGCTTGGTTCAGAGACAGCATGGCCAAGGCTGAAAGTGTAGGATCTGGAGGCACACTGCCTGGGTGTGTGTGAATCCAGGGGGTCACTGTATGATTTGAAGGACATTATTTAATCTCTCCGATGCTTAATTCCCTCACCTGCGAAGTAGAGGTAGTGTAATCCATTGTAGACATGCAGTGAGACTTGATTCATCCTAAGTAAGTATTCTAAGTAATAGACGTCTCCTCCTACTCTTCCTCCAGTCTTTATAACTACCCTTCTGTCACACTGGCCCCCTTTCTCTACCATGTAAGTGTTGACGGGGCTGTAAGCCTCTACACTTGCTGTTTCCATACCTGTGTTCTCTCTCACATGTCATTGTGATGACCTCCGTGGCTTCCACCCCAGTCTTCCCCCATCCTCTGTGTGCGTACTCTGCTCTCACACCCTGACTGTGCTTTCTGGAGGTTCGGAACTTCCTTCTCCGTCTTGATATCCCCCGCAGCCCTGCACCTGGAGTGCTGTATGGCATTTCTAACAAAATGGAGAAGAGAAGGAATCACTCTGAGGGAGAGTGGTAGGCATGGAACTGGAGGCCAGCATTCCTCTGGATAAAATGCTTTGTCCTAAACTGAATTTATCAAATCAACTTCACCTGATAATTTTTTTTTTTTTGGCGTCTCTTTTTTTTTTTTTTTTTTTTGCTTGTATTCCATAGTATCTCTCCTTTCTCATCTAAGGTTGTTGCCTTCAAACCATTAGAAGCATAATGTGAGATGTGTCTGGAATTCTGTGTCCTGGGAGGCTCAGCTCAGGCTATCTAGCATGATCCAAGGATTCCAAGTCAGGTGTCAGGATACCCTGGTCCATGGAACTTTAAGCATGGAGCATCTTTGCCATCATACATGCAGAGAAACCTGGCGTCGTGCATGCAGGGAGACCTGGAATGTTGTCTAACAAATCTAATGTTCTAGAATTTGCGGGGAACAGAATTGCCATTTCTTCCCAAAGAGGATTCATTGTCATCCAAGCATTTGTGTTTAGTGTCTCATCATTTTCTGATTTGGCCCTAACGGGCACAACAGTGCAAGCTTGTCCCACATCACCAAGAGCCATTCATTTGGCTTCCAGCCTCCCTGACCCTTCCTTCCCCCACCTCCTACCAGCCCAGTAACATATTTAACCATTGTTTTCGGTCCAGACAATTCACCGCAGTGTTGGAATTAAAACATCATCTGAAGCTTAAAGCTCTGGGCTGTTTGGCTGTAGAGCTGAATGTGTTTGGATGAAAGGGGCAAGTCTTCCATCTTCCCAACGTGACTAACTTTCCAGATCTGCTGCCACTACATTGATAAGGAATTGAAGACTAGGAGGTCCTGGAAAAGACCCACTATGTCCTGCCTGCTGCAGCTGGCCTCACTTGAATCAGCAAGCGAGCGCTCAGTATACTAGGCTACTTTTGCCCGGCTACCTTTCTGTTTATAGCCCTTGAAGAAGTAACTACTGAACCTTCATGGCCACTGGGGGGTAGTATGTAGGTTCAGCACCTGGCTTCTTATTCCTTGGCTTAAACACCTTTAAGTTAGTGGTACTGGGGTATGGTACCCTACACCTGTAGTCCCAGCACTCAGGAGGCAGAGGCAGGAGGATTTGAGCAGCGCTTATTTGAAGGTTTGACAAACAAGTTTGATGTGTTTGTTGTGGAAGTGGACTAAAACAGCCATTATGAAATGTAGGATGAACACAGGGAAATCTCTTCTGTCTCTTCATCCTGGAGATGGAATTCCTCAGTGTTGCTTCCTCTCACTTCTACATTTCTCCCCCAAGCTTCTCATGGGCTTGGGAGAATCTGCGAGAGGTGCTCGCCCCTAGAATTCTGCTGACAGGCTCTCCCGGGAACATCACTATTCTAGTACTCCAGTTTTGATCAACCTGTTCTCTGATTCCTGCATCTGCCCCTGCTGGCCTTAACTCCCATCGGGATCATTGAAGGCCTGTTCATTAGTGGAAACATCCAGAGGTAGAAGCGAAGCTGGATAGGAGAAGCTTTAGGGAGTGAAGTGAGTCCTCGGTCCCACCTGGAAGTTTGCTGAACCACCTGGTGTGTGGAGCTTTAAGAGACATACATTTTGTATGATGGAGCCAACTGTTTAAATGATCTTCCCTGGGCCACTCTCATTAAACTGTTGGGTTTTGCCATATAAAATAATTGGACTGGTAGCACAACCAAGGAAGGGTTGCTCTGAGACTTTGCAGGAATGATGGCTGCAAGTTGAGCTAAGAATACACTGCCATGGTTGACTTCCTGGTTGTGTTACTACAAAACAGCAGCTAAAAAAATTGCAAGAGGACAGTATCACCAACTGGAGTAAAAGTTGCCATTGTCCAATCTAGGTTTTATTTACTTACAGTCAAAGAGAGGGCAGATACCTATGTCTCCAAAGAATCTGTCATTTAGGAAAACCTAAGGTACTGTGTAACTTGGTGACTCAAGAGTGATAAATTATTTGGGGCAAGTGCCTACATCCACAAATCCTGTCCTTTGCTCTGCTTATGCAATGTTGATTGTGCCCTGGGGAATTTCATTGAGCAGCCAAGAGGACTTGGGTACACAGTGGAAGAGAACGTTGCACCAGACGTGTTTAATTGAGTGTAGGCTTGCCCAGAACCCTTCCTGGAACCGAAGGAACTGTGCCCCAGTGAGATAAGGCCAGAAGTGGCAGAAGCAGGAATTAGAGACAGGGTTGATCAAAATTGGAGGCCTAGAGTAGTGAGTGATGTTCCTAGGAGACTCTCTCAGCAGAATTCCTAAAAGAGAGTACCTGAGCCAAAGAGCCCATGAACCCCCATCTGGCTGCCTCACATCCTGAAATGGAGTGTATTCTGGAAATGAGACAACAATACCACATTGTAAGGCTATATTTCATGGCTCTTAAATTGAGGGTCTGGATGGTGACTGTGGCATACTTACTACAGTCCCCTAGTGTCTGCTAACTAGCTGTACTGCACAGCTGGGAGTGCTGTTCTCCCCCATCCCTATAGACATCAAGGGCTCATTACCAGAGCACCCTCACTCTCCTGGAAACCCCCCGTGGCCTGGGGTGCTTTAAAAAAAAAAAGAAGAAGATACTTTATTGAAATTTTTTTAAAGATTTATGTATTTATTATGTATACAATGTTCTGCCTGCAGGCCAGAAGAGGGCACCAGATCTCATTATAGATGGTTGTAAACCACCATGTGGTTGCTGGGAATTGAACTCAGGACCTCTGGAAGAGCAGTCAGTGCTTTTAACCTCTGAGCCATCTCTCCAGCCCCTGAAATTTTAAAGTTATTGATAGACATGTTGCTGTGTTTTGAACATAGCACAATAATTAGATTTATAACATATTCTCAATAGGGGCATTGATAGAAACCTCCTATAACATCGTATGTAATGGTGAAGAACTGAATGCCTACTCTCTATATGGGAAAAGGACAAAAACATCCACTTTTGCCTCTTCTGTTTAACATTGTATTGGTTCTAGCAAGGGCCATTCATCAAGAAGAAAATAACAGCAGCAATAAAAAGCCATCCTCATCGGGAAGGAAGCAGTAGCTCTCTCTTTCTTGATAGCAGATCCAAGCTCTGGTGTAAAATATCCTAAAGACCCAGGAGGCTGGGACTTTGTACATGCTCAGTACCAAGCATATGTAGGGTTGGATCCCCAGTGCTGTGAAAACGTAAGGTGAAACCAGAGGAGCCTCTGTTTAGCGCCAGCCTCCCCCAGGTTGCTGTGCCTTTCCCTTTGTTCCTGGAACAGAAACGGGGTGCGGCTGTACCGCCCAGGACATAAGCTCTGCCCAGGATTGCTCCCTGTTACTGCTTCTCACTTTAAAGGCGCAAGCTCTGTGACTTAGTAGCGAATAGCGTAGACACTGGTATCAGTCTACCAGACCCCAGACTTGCATTCACCAGTGATGGGGGCTTAGGCAAATTATGAATTTCCTCTTTGCTTCAGTTTCCTCCTGTGTACAGTGAGAGTGGCAGTGACTGCCACTGCCACCTGGGGTTATTGTGAGGATGAAGAGGGTTACTTTGTGTAAAGTCTCTACCTGGCATGCACTTGGGCCCGTAGTTAGATATTCAACATGTTATTGGTGAAATATTTCCCATTTTGCTATTTCTGCCAGAAAGAATGAAAAATTCCATGAGAAGTTTATTCGAGATCCTACTAAGTCCATAAACATGTCTTTCACCTAGTTTATGGCATTGCTCACTTAGAATTTGAGGTACAGCAATTGGTGGTGTGAGCCGTAACAGTCTCCCGAAGGCCATCTTGTAGCACAGTGAAGCTTGTAAAACCTTACATGCCAGCTCCTTTGACATCTGGGGATTGTGACTGTGCAGAGAGATCCAGGAAGGCAGAGGCTGTCACAGGTCAGGCTCACTAGGTAAAGTCTCAGGGGAGGAAAAAAAAAAAGAAAGAAAGAAAGAAAAAGAACCCTCTTGCCTACTTAGTGTTGAGCCAAATGTTAAACATGAAAAGATGCACCAGTCCTGTGGTATGTGTGAACTCCGGTGTAACGATGAAAAGTTTAGCCTCAGCTCACCCTGCAGCCCCTTCATGTTCTAGAGATGCTGGGGGGGGGGGGGGGGGAAGAAGGTCCCAGGAGCGTCCAGGAGGAAGCTTTATATGGATCACCAAGACTGGGGTGTGCTCTGGAGTGTGGCTCAGATACAATCATCACATCCTACAACTTCCCTTTTCCCTAAAACAGTGTTTTAGAATTTTATTTATTTTCATGTGTATGGGTATTTTGCCTGCATTATGTCTGTACACCATGTAGGTGCTTGGTGCCTGTGGAAGCCAGAAGAAGGCATTGAATCCCCTGGAAGTGGAAGTACAGACCATTGTAAACGTGGCATGTAAACTGCCATGTGGGTGCTGGGAATTGAACCCAGGTACTTTAGAATAGCAGCCAAGTGGTCTTAATCACCGAGCTGTCTCTCCATCCCCCTAAACAACAGTTTTTAAAATGTGATCTCTGGCCAGTGATCAGCACACTTGGGAACTTTTGAAAGTTGTATTCACAGGCCCCACTGGAGCCCTATTGAGTCAGAAACTCTGGGAGGGGGCCATGTCTTAACATACCCTCCAGGTTAAGACTGAGACCCTCAGCAGCACTCTGCCGAGTTTCTGTATTTGTGAAAGTGACTATTAAAAAACACAAACAGGAGGCTTATATCTCGTATTCTCTGTGTTCAGGTACGTGTTATGGTAGCCATTTAGTCTGTGGGAAACACAGGTACAAGCATTCATTGCAGAGCTTCTGTGTCCAGACCATGAAGACCAGGTCCAGGACAAAGTTCTCAAATGCAAAAACCTTATCTTGGTGGGTCCATATAAGAACTGCAGGTACGTGATCAGCGAGATATGTACAGTCCACATGACTGCTCACACCAGGGGGGCTTGTATATCAGTTATCGGCTCCACTGGCCTGAGCCTGTAAGCTATCTGCTGGCTCTGGATTCGTAACAACCCAGGGTGTGGCTGGGGCTGCCTGGGTGTGGAGTCTGAACCGCCTTTCCCTTCTGGGTGCACCCTGACTCAGAGGCTACCCTCTGAGGACTGAGAAAGAACATCCATCCCTTTCCCCTAGAATCTCAGAAAATAAGAATTTAGCTGATGATAAAACGATTTCGAACCTTGACTGACTGAATTAAGCTGATCCTATCCTGAAGGCCTAACCATGTTTACTCTTTGGATCGAAGTTTTTAGGAACTATGGTGCAGACCTCTGTATTCTAGATTCTTCTCTATGTAACTCGTAATCTAGTTTCTTTCCTGGTTTCAGTAGATGCTTTGGAGGGAAGAAAAGCAGAAGGAAATAGTTCAGGTGAACACTTTATTAGCAGGTTCTGTATAAGATGATGAATGATGGCTCTTTGTATGGGGGCGGGGGCTTTCCTGGGAGTCACCTGAAGTCGCTGCTCTCGCCATTTGCTCAGCAAGCACCTGCATCCACCATGAGCAGTCCTTGCCATGATGAATGCCAAACCACCTGGTCCCTCCCACAGACCTCAGGGGCTCTGTTCTCGTTGTCTTCTCTGAGTGCAGGCTGGGCATACAGAGTAGGACTCCTCACTGGCTGGGGGAGCGTGTGGAGGTGTCAGCAGGGCTCTCCCACCATCCTGGAAGGCAGCGGTCCGGCTTTGTTCCTGCATCTGTGCACCAGTCTCCAAAGCTCCTGCAGAAGAGCCCCTGCGAGGGCTCCCCACCATAGATCACATGGTCTCTGCAAACCACGCCCTCTAGTACCAGACACCCCCTCCCCCACCTTCGGGTTAATTCTTCTCTGCGTTTTTCGGTGGGCCATTTCACTAGCATCTCTCTGCTCTTTCTTTCTTTTTAATATGGTTTTTAGGTTGTTGGGGTTTTTTGTTTTGTTTGTTTGTTTGGTTTTTGGTTTTTTTCAAGACAGGGTTTTACTGTGTAGCTTTGGAACCTATCCTGGAACTCGTATAGACTAAGCTGGTCTTGAACTCAGAGATCTGCCTGCCTCTGCCTCCCAAGTGCTGGGATTAAAGGTGTGCACCACTACTGCCCGGCATACAAACACACACACACACACACACACACACACACACACACACACACGTGTGTGTGTGTGTGTGTGTGTGTGATTTAAACATCTCCAACAGGTTTATTTTTAAAGGAATGGCGGAAGGGAGAAAAAAACGGGGTACAGAAGTATGGACTCGAAGATAAATACAAATGTAAGCTGTTTTACTAATTATTTTATAACCACAAACTGGTAACACCATGTACAAAACACAACAGATTCAAATGAGGTGTTCCCTTAGCAAGGCTGAAGAGTCAGTCTCTGGTATTTGGAATGTAGGATGCAATCCTTGTTTTGGGGTGGATCACTGGGTGTTTGGCACACTCCATGCTTTTAACCGGATGTGAACAGAAGAATGGCCACCTGGCCCAGGCAGAAGTCGATGAAGTGTTTGGTTTCATGTGTCACATAATTACCGAAGTTCCGCCCCACAATGCAGTGCCAGGTGGGGTTGTACTTCTTATCAAACTCCATATGGGCCGCAATATCCTTCTCTATGTTATACTTCTCCAGCGCCTGAGTAGCGCACTCCACTGAGTCCTGTTGTATCTCCTCCGACATGTCAGCATTTTTGATCACCGCCTTCTGGTCACACATGGTTGCTGTGGAGCAGAGGCCAGCCGGCTGCTGTGAGCTCCTGGGGACCTAAGGTGCTGGCGCCACTCAGACAGCAGAGGAGAGCCGGTTGCTACCGAAGCCAGGGCGCATCTCCCGGCATATGTTTTTAATTGAAATAGAATTACATCATTTCCTGCCCTGTCTTCCCCCTAACCCCTCCTAGCTACTCTCCCTCAAACTCCTCCTGTGTCCTCCCTCAAGTTGATAGCGTCTTTGCCTTTATTTTATTTATTTATTTATTTATTTATTTATTTATTTATTTTTGGTTTTTTTCGAGACAGGGTTTCTCTGTGTAGCTTTGGAGCCTGTCCTGGATCTCACTTTGTAGACCAGGCTGGACTCAAACTCACAAAGATTCACCTGGCTCTGCCTCCCAAGTGCTGGGATTAAAGGTGTGTGCTACCACCACCCAGCTGTCTTTGCCTTTATTTTATATATATAGATGAATGTATACGTATACACAAATATATATAAATAGAATCTGCCGAGTCCATTTTTATTGTGTGTATATGGTTTCAGAGCTGACCACTTTGCATTCAACAGCCAGTAAGAGGGCTCACCCCAGGGAGAGGCTAATTCTTCATCTCCCAGCAGTCATTAGTGGCCTGCAGTTCTTTGCCTAGAGGTGGGACCCTGTGAAATTTTCTCCCTTCCATGAAAACATATCCAATGATATTGCCATTGCAGCCATTTCTAGGAGAGACTGTTTCATAGCAGACTCTTATAACCTTTCCACCCGCTTTCTCCATGATGTTCCCAGAGCCGTAGATGCAGGAGCTGCACTATAAAGATCAGTTGGGGCTGGACTCTCCACAATCTCTGCATCGTGTCAGGCTGCGGTTTTCTGTGGTGGTCTCCATTTTCTGTAAAGAGAAGCTTCTTGCATGAGGGGCGGTGGCTACACTTATCTGTGGGTGTGAGAATAAGATTTAGTATATAGTAAAGGATTATGTTGGTCTAGCAATGTGGCAGTAGTGGATTATTTGCCAAGGTGATCTCTCTAGCCCTGGGTAGTTGGCTAGCTTTCCAGTACCAGGCATGATTTCCTCCTGTTGAATGGACCTGAAGTCCAATTAGATAGCTGTTGATTGCCACCAAGCTGGGAGTAACACTGACTGCACCTTTATGCATATCTTGCCATGCTGATTATTGTGGTTCATAGGTAGGGTAGGACTGTTTAATTGCTTCCTGCCCTTGGCCACTTAAATAGTATTTTCTGGAACCATGAAAGCTAGAGTGCAGGAAAGAGGCTTTGAGGTCAGACACAGCCTTGAGTCATCCAAGTCCTGTGTCTTAAGTGTCACCAGCACCTCTTGACCCTGGCTCTTGCTTGGTTCATAGCCAGGTTCATACTTGTTATCATCACCTTCACCAAGTGAGGAGAGTGACTCTCACCAGGTGTGAACACCCAGCAGATTGCGTTTCTGCTGTAAAAGAGGGGCCTGGCAGTCATAGTGTACAGAACAGTTGTGTTGGGAACAGTCCTGACCGGCAGTAGACAGCCACCCCAAAGGCACTTCTCTGTCTGGCCCCCTGGCTGCTCTTAGACATTAGGAAAACAGCAGTGAGCGGCTAAGCCCATTCTGTTTCGCCTCATTTTCACGAATTCTAAAACCTGACCTGGCCCTAGCTCTGCCCTTGTACGCTTGAGCCGCTGGACTTGCAAACCGAGCGAGAATGGATATGCTTCACTTCATTGTCCTTACAAAGGCAGCTCTGACAGCCTTCGAGGCAACTTCATTTGCAGTGTCTGTTTGGACCCAGTGGCTTGACTGCAAGGATGGCAAGTAGACTCGATCGCTTTTTATCTTCAGGGAGGTGTTCCGAATTCACGCTGCCTTTTTGCTATGTAATTACTGCCATAGCTTCTAGCTTGTGTTGACTTTATAAACTTGAGAAGGAAGGAGAAAAAACTTGGAGACCATCCAGGCCCCTTGTTCTCTGAAGCTGGGAAAGTGGGGCTGCTGACCCAGAGTCACCTCATGCTGAGTCATGGAGGCAGTCTGGCCCCAATGAAGGGCAAGTGGGCAGGGCAGGGTAAAGATCATAAGAGGGGAAAGCTGGTGAGAATTGCTGTGTGCTGTGAGGGGGGAGGAGATTGGTCTGGGGGGCTCAGAACTCAAATGTTATCTTTATAAGCTAGGAGAACCTTATTTTGAAATTTATTTATTTTTATGTGCATGGGTGTTTTGCCTGCATGTATGTCTGTGAGCCACATGAATGCAGTGCCCTTGGATGCTAGATAGACATGACCATTGGATCCCCAGGGACTGGAGTTAGAGATGGTTGTCGGCCACCACGTCAGTGTGGGAATCAAACCAGGAATAGCATCCAATGCTTTTAACTGCTGGGTTCTCTCTGGTCCTGAGAAGCTTACATTTTTAAAGACCCAAACAACTTGCTCACCCCCCAGATTTCATGTTGAATAAGATATTGTGCCTCTACTGTTCATTCAGCTCTCAATTTGCAAGCAGGACTGAAAACGGCCATTGGAGCGAGATGAATCTGAGTAATACTTCCTGCTTTAGACTCTGAGTGCCCCACATAAGCTCTGGGTGTCCCTCTGATGGTAGGGGTCCTGGAATCATGTCCCTTTGTTTTTAAGGACGACTGGAAACATTCTGCAGCAGGGTACTACCCTGAGCTGGCTGCTGGGGAAATGAAAGTAAAACACTCATCAGAGACAAACTATATTTATTTGGGTGGGTGTGAAGCTGTATGGGGTGGATGTGTTTGCATATGCATGCATGTGGAAGCCATAAGACAACGTGGGTTGTTGTTCCTTAGGAGGAAGTCATCTTGATTTTTGAGACAGGGTCTCTCACTGATACCTGGGGCTCTCACCAATCAGGCTATGGCTGTCCAACAGTCTGTCCAACAGTTGCTGCCACCCTGGTCACTCCCTGTCTTCAGAGCAGTAGGATCACAAGACCATGCCATCTTGCCTGACTTTTTACCTGGGTGCTAGGAATTGAACTCAGGTCCCCATGGTTGCTCAGTAAGCATCTTACAAATTAAACCCTCTCCCCAGCCCTTAAAGGTATAGCACAGATTGGCTTCGAACTTATGATCTTCCTGCCTCATCTTTTTAAGCATTTTCCTACTGTTGTATGCTTTCACAACCAGCAAGAGATGGGCACTTTTTTTTTCCTCTTTCAAGACAGGTTTCTCTGTGTAACAGTCCTGGCTGTCTGGGAACTTGCTTTGTAGACTAGGCTAGCCTTGAACTCACAGGGATCCACGTGTCTTTGCCTCCCGAGTGCTGGGATTATAGGCGTGCTCCACCACAACTCAGTGAGATGGGCATTTTTAAACAGAAACAGTCACACAGGAGCTCCTGGCTTGGGCAGCCTTGCATGTGGCAGTGAGCCACCTTAGCATATTCTGAGGTGTTGAAGTTACCCTTTCTGCTGGCATGCTCTACACCCTTCCATCTAGTAGTGTTCAAAGCTCACAGAGGTTAGTGGGCAGCCCTGTGGGCTCTGAGATGCTCAGGGCTTCTTCCATCTGCTAAGTTTTGTTCTTTCTGATGCCCAGGCTAAGTTTGTCCTCTGAGACAAGAGTTTTAATGCTGAACACTACAAGATGAGCCGGGATTTGCTTTTTTTTTTTTTTAAATAAATTTATTATGTACACAGAAGAGGGCACTACATTATTACAGATGGTTGTGAGCTACCATGTGGGTGCTGGGAATTGAACTCGGGACCTCTGGAAGAGCAGTCGGTGCTCTTAACCTCTGAGCCATCTCTCCAGCCCCGGGATTTGCTTTTTCTCAAAGCAATTTATAATGACAGCTCCTGTGTGGTCAGAAAAATTCCAAACATTGTATCTTGAAACCACATAGCTACTACCCCATCTATGGTTAACATTTGTTCCGCTTGTATTGCCAACTTTTCATGGATTTCAAAATAAGTTTCAGACATCGGGACTCCTGTGGGGCTTGTGTTGAAGTGATGATTTGATGGGCAGCCTGGGTTCTCAGGATCCTGCCCGGCTATGTGTCTTGTCTACACCATCCGCTCAGGAGCCATGCTTTGATGTCAGAACACCAAGCAGGGTTTCTCCATTCTGGCTTCTCAAACTGTGCCAGCATGTGGCCAGGATCAAGGTGTAAGGGCCAGGATCACAAGGTCCTGACCTCACAGTAGCCCTCCCCGGAAGCCATCGTGGTAGATGCCAGATGCCACTTTGTTAAAGGGTGTCTTGTTAAATACTTTCAAATGCAAATTTTAGTGGCGTACTACAATGACTACTGCGATGATACAGGTAAAATTTGTAAATGGATGTTGAATCCAAGAGAATATATAGCTAGTTATAGTGGCACACACCTGTAATCTCAATGTGTGGGAGGCCGAGGCAGGATGACGGCTGTGAGCTTGAGACCACTCTGGGTTGGTTATAGCTTGAGTACCAGACCAACTTGGGCTACACGGTCTCAAAAACTGAAATTAAGGGGCCCGTGAGATGGCTCAGGGGGTCAAGGTGCCAGCTGCCAAAGCCGGTGACTGAAGTTTGTGCCCAAGGGCCCACATGGAGGTAGGAGAGAACAGACTGCTGCATGTGCACACGGGTGTGTGTCTACACACACAAATACGTAAATAAGAATGGAACAAACTCTGTTTTTAGAACCGAAAGGAAAAGATAGAGGAGGAGAAAAGGTGAGGGAAGGGAGTAGGGAGGAAGGAAGGACCTGAATGATTTTATACTTTTCTGAGATTACACTGCATACTGGAGTAATTTTCAATTCTGTCATCTAGTACACAGTGGTATTTCTGATGACCTCTTAAAAACATCTTTTTTTTTATGTTGGGCAGGGCATGTGTGTATCATATGTATGTGTGATATATATACATATGTGTGTGTGGTGTGTGCATTTGTGATGTATGTGTGATATATATGCATATGTATGTGTGGTGTGTGCATTTGTGATGTATGTGTGATATATATGCATATGTATGTATGGTGTGTGCATTTGTGATGTATTGTGATATATACATATGTATGTGTGGTGTGTGCATTTGTGATGTATGTGTGATATATATGCATATGTATGTATGGTGTGTGCATTTGTGATATATGTGTGGTATATATGCATATGTATGGTGTGTGCATTTGTGATGTATTGTGATATATACATATGTATGTGTGGTGTGTGCATTTGTGATGTATGTGTGATATATATGCATATGTATGTATGGTGTGTGCATTTGTGATGTATGTGTGATATATATGCATATGTATGTATGGTGTGTGCATTTGTGATGTATGTGTGATATATATGCATATGTATGTATGGTGTGTGCATTTGTGATGTATGTGTGATATATACATATGTATGTGTGGTGTGTGCATTTGTGATGTATGTGCGATATATATACACGCATGTGCACTTGTTTGTGCAGGTGCTCTCGCTTGCACGTGCTCGTATAGAGGCCAGTGGTTGGCGTTGGGTATTTTTCCTCTCTTGCTCTCTACTTTCTTTTTACGGCATGTTCTGTCACTAAACCTGAAGCTCACCTTTTTTATTAAACTGGCTAGCCAGTGAGCTCCAAGGATCTCCTTGTCTTCATCCCCCACACACATCCCAGCACGGGGTTACAGGATGCCAAGGATCCAGACTCAGGTCCCCCCCCATGTTTGTGCAGCAAGCAGTTTACCTGCTGGGCTGTCTTCCCAGCCCTGAGATGTCGTTTTGATCCGTAGGCATCTGCTGGTAAGGAGGCACCGTGCTCTCTGAGGCCTTGCACCACACGATGCCTGCTGTGTTGGGTTAGTTTCACACTGTGCCGTACTTTCTTCCACAGAGCCAAGATGGCTGTCCTCTCTAAGGAATATGGATACGTGCTCCTCACTGGCGCTGCCAGCTTTGTGATGGTGCTCCACCTGGCCATCAACGTGGGCAAAGCCCGCAAGAAGTACAAGGTGGAGGTGAGTGGGGTCACAGGTGGGTGCTTGTGTGGGCTTTCTGAGACCACAGGCTTATCCAAAGGTGAGTTTTCAGTCATGGAGGGAGAGCAGAGGTATTGGTGGCAGGTAGTAGCAGTTTCTGGACAGTGCCCATTAGAATTCTGTTCCTGGGAGACAGGAAACACTAGGACTACTAGAATGTAGTTTACACCTTGTGGACTTTTGCTCCTTTGTAGAAAGACCGAGCCTACTGTGGTTAAAAGTCCATTTTGACCTCGAGCTATGTGCTAGGGACAGTGCTCTTCTCTAAAAAGGATGAAGTAGCAGCACTGTTTCCTGGTTTGCTAGGTCACAAGGGGATGTCTTAAGTTGATTTTCCTGTTTCCTAAGTAGAGAAGAGATGATAGGCTTAACCTGGGTTTAGCTGGGAGCTGTAGAAAGGAAGTCTGTTAAATGCTTCCTTTAGTTCTGGCTGAATTAGAAGGGGAACTTCTAAAGCTATCCCTGGTGAGCAATTAGATATCCGTTTGCATTTAGCATCTTGTAATTACACTCCCTTGGTGGAGCGTCTCTTCAAGTATTCATATCCGGCTACTTCTCTTTCTTCTAATGGACGCTTGCAATAGCAGTCTCACACACTTCAATTACCTGTTCCCTGTTAAGGGGAGTCTTAAAGGGGCGTGGTGCGCAATGACTCCTGGGAGCCAGCCATTTCTCTGGGGTGTCTCCGTAGTGCATCTGCAGCCCACCACTGCTTTATGACATCAGTGGGACACACTGACGACGACGCGTCTTTTGCAGCCCCAACCTAGTCACAGGTTCTCACTACCTTTGGTGGCTAGAAACACCAAAACTGCTTCTGGGGACTGAAGACCTTGTCACTACAAAGACTGAAGCAGAAGTCCGTCAGGAGTGCAGTCGGAGGTTCCTGGGAATGTCTCTGTTTCCGTGCTAAGTGTTAAGTCTTAACACTGACGCTCTCCTTGGCCTTTGCTTTAACAGTACCCGATCATGTACAGCACAGATCCTGAGAACGGGCATATCTTCAACTGCATTCAGCGAGCCCACCAGAACACGTGAGTGTCATGCTGCCAGGCAGCACAGATGTCCATCACGTCAGCCCCGAGTCTCTGAGTTTGCTAAGTGATAACATGGCAATCATGGGTACCTCATTCAACGTATGATTAAGACATTAGTGTGGTGTGTAACTGAAAGTTTTCCTGATCTTGCCCGGCTACCACAGCCGCTCAGACCCAAGTAAACACATAGAGGCTTATATTAATTATAACTGCGTGGCCATGGCATAACCTTTTTGCTAGCTAGCTCTTATATCTTAAATTAGCCCATAACTATTAATCTATGTATTGCCACATGTTCTGTGGCTTTACCTGTGTCCCATTACATGTTGCTCCCTGGGCAGCTGGCTGGCATCTCTCCCCTACCTTCTTCCTGTCTCTCTCTTTGAATTTCCCGCCTGTCTCTAAGCTGGCTTGCCATAGGCCAAATGGCTTTATTTATCAACCCATCAGACCAACACAAATTTGCAGCGTGCAGAAAGACATTCCCCCATCAGTGGTGGGGGCACAAGCTCAGAAAATTAAAGCACTTTTTGCCAAACCTGATAATCTAAATTTGATCACCAGGACCCACGTGGTGGAAGAAGAGAACCAAGTCTAACTTATACATGTGAGCCATGGCATTGGGAGACCCTGTCTTAAAAAGCAATCAATCAATCAAACAAACAAAACCCAAAACCCAACCAAACACACACACACACACACACACACACACACACACACACACACACACACACACACACAAAATTAAAAAAAAAAAACTTTTAAAATTACTATGTGAACAGATTGAATACTGAGAAAAACTAAGCATTTTTACAATGGAAAAACTTCAGAGCTGGTCAGTGGTGGCACACGCCTTTAATACCAACACTTGGGAGGCAGAGGCAGGCGGATCTCTGAGTTCAAGGTGAGCCTGGACTACAGAGTGAGTTCCAGGACAGCCAGGGCTACACAGAGAAAATAAATAAATAAAACTAAGCAAAGAGTGATGAAGGCCTGCTGTTGCTCAGCTCCTTTCTCTACACAGTTCAAGTCCCAAACTTGGTGGATGGTGCTGTCCACAGTGTGCAGTTCTTTCTACCTCAATTAACACAAGATAATCTTCCATGGGCATGCTCATCTCCCAGCAGCATTAACAGCAGCCATCACAATGTCTTTAAGGTGACACTCTGCAGTTTTTGCAGGTCCCATCTAGCTGATTACATTCATTACTTTTCATTGTGAGCATATATAGACCTGACAAAGAACTGAGTGGAAGAAGACTTTATCTTGGCTCATAATTTAAAATAACAACAAAAAAACAAAAAAACCCATAGTCTATGACGGAAGAGATAGCAGCAGGACTCTCATTGGTGATGGCAGAGACTTACAACTAATCACAAAGGCACACGGGAAATGGTCCTCTGCTGGGCTATAACCCTCAAAGCCCACCCTCAGCGGCCTACACCTGCCCATCAGGCCCCTATCCAAAAATATCCCTCAACCTCCAAAAACAGTGCCACCAAGTGGAGACCAGGCATTCAAACACATGAGCTTGTAGGACGGTTCAGATTGTGCTTCCATGAGGAGACCTACTCCAATCCAGGGCCTTCCTCGTGAGTTGGTAGAATGTGGAGTTCTTCTACTCATTCCTATCCACAGCAAAAGCAGGTGGGCCCTGGCACCCAGTCTTCTCCCCTACCCCCCAGTCAGTGTGTTCCTGCTCTCTGAGTTCCCAAACTACTAGCAGGAACGTGGAGTCCCTTAGTTCTGTATAGACATCATGAGGGCACTCTTTTAAAAGTTACTTTCTGTCCATTCCAGGTTGGAAGTGTATCCGCCCTTTCTATTTTTCCTAACCGTGGGAGGTGTTTACCACCCGGTAAGTTTCTCCTGGGGCTGTTCATCCGTTTAGATGTGGTTCCCTGAGCTACTGTCTGAATGCGGGGCAGAGGAAATGAACACTGAATGAGGAATGTTGATGTCAGGGCACCATGTATTTATTTAATGATTTATTACAAAGTGTTTTAAAGTAGGCAGCATGTCACCTCATTTTTGTAGACCGAGGGGAAAGCCTTTTAGACACTGTTTAACTTCCATGGGGTCAGATAAGCCACAGAAGAATGGAACTTTGAACCCAGATCTGTCCCATTCTAAAAGGTCCACAGGGAGTGTTTGTACTTTCCTCGTTCACCCTTGTATGCAAAAACATCTGCCCACACCCACGGTTACAGCAGTGAATCAGACAGGCAGATACCTGCATTCATAGACCCTCCCTTTTACTGGGGTCATAAAGAGCATCGGAAGTAAATTATTGGGTGTCAGAAGGTGCTGAGGTGCCCAGTAGCAAACAAAGGGAGGCGGAAAAGGAGTGTGGGGCTCGGAGATTTTGAATGGTGTGGTCAGGCTCAGGGCTGTTGCTGAGAAGGGGACAGTTAAGCAAAACTCACAAAAGGTGAGGAAGCAGGAGCTTCGGCTGTCCTGTCCGGAGCACCCGGCCCTGAGAAGGCCATGGAGTAGGGACAGCGACCACAGACGCTCACTCATACCTGAGGTTACGGCAGTGAACGGGACCGGCGAGCATCTGTACACCTGCAGACAGCACCAAACCAGTTTTCCAAAATGGCTAGTGCTCAGCACTGTAGTAAAGCCTGGCCTGGGGGAGACCAGGCTTACTCAGAGAGTAACCGGGGCTTTTGTCTCTAGTACCTCATCCTCCCGCCAATACTGCTTACCCAGAATCAAACAAACGAACAAAATCCTGCCATAGCAGCCAGCACCACCGACAGCAGCACTACTAAATTGGAAAAGGACTTGAGGAGGATCATCTACTCAGCCTACCCCAACCTTTTTCCTCTTTCTGGCCAGATGGGTCACTCAGGATGAAACAGTTTCTTTTCGATTTTTCATCCTACATAGGTTTTACTCTCTCCTGTCAAGGATGTCGGGAGTAGGGGGGACTTTCTCCTCTCAGAATATATGTATTTGGGGTTCACTATACATTCTCCTCACCTTCCCTCATCGAGCCCCACCCCTGTTGTGTGTCCGGCCCCTTCCAGCAGGTGTTGTCACTGAAGACAGCGCAGCCCAGCCGCTGTTGAGTCAGACGGCAGGGTTTCCTCTTCCGACTCACCCTGGAACCTTTAGGTCTGCCTGCCCTTGACCTGAGCTCCAGCCCCAGTTCCCTCAGTTGCCCAGAGCAGAAAACAGTCCACCCATTGGGAAAGCTAGTTCTCACCTCCAAGTTGAGCATGCAGTTTAGACAACCACCGGTCTTGACTTTTCCTGACCAAAGCAAATAATTCCATTCTTTCCTCAGTGGGAAATACATTACCAAAGGTGTGAGAGGACTGTTGGCCAACACAAGTGTAGCCAGCTCTAGGCATTCATCATTAATCAAGGTCTGTTTCCTCAATGTAAACACAGAATTGTTCTTTTATCTTAGCGCATAGCTTCTGGCCTGGGCCTAGCCTGGATTGTTGGGCGAATTCTTTACGCATATGGCTACTATACAGGAGGTAAGTACATGTTGACATCTGCCAAGGAAACACCTTTTACATTTATCTTTTGAAACATGTTTTATGTATCCAGGTGCGTGTACCCACAGAGGGCAGAGATCATGTTAGATCCCCTGGAGCTGGAGTTATAGGTGGTTGTGAGCCTCCTGACATGGGTGCTGATGGCTGAATGCTGGTCCTCGGCAAGAGCAGCAAGCGTTCCTAACCACTGCCGTCTTTCCTGCCCCCAAACAAATGTGAAGTTACTGTATTTTAACTCTCAGCAGGGCTTTAAAAGGGGGTGGAGGGGTAAGGCTGGAGGACTGACTGCTCGTCTGC